CCTGCTGTCGCAAAGGAGGGCTGGAAACTTGTGCATTCCCAGTTTTCTTGAGCTCTATATTCCATGTGGGAAATGTGGGAAGTTACAGAAAGCCACAGTGCTATCACATTTTAGTTTATCAGAGCTACACCTAATCCAGAGTATGTGAGCAATCACCAACAGCCTTCTCCCAAAAATCTGTTTTCTTGAGGAAGGTGCAGGTAACACTGCCCCAGGCAGGAGCATCAGGGGGCAAAACACCTGCAGAGCTCTGCAGACACTCAGCACTCATCCCTTCCAAGGCAGCAGCGTGTGTTTCTTCCCATAGTCTATGGAAAAGTATCGCAGCATCTTTAATTAATGGATTCACTGAAGTAGAAAGGAGATCAGGATGCTTTCTACCTCTTAGGAGATATACAAGGCCCTAGGAGAGGATTACGGATCAGTGAGCCAAAACTTTTCACAGAAATTAGCTAGAATTAAGCTTTCTGACAGGCTGAAATAGTAGATGCCTTTTTTATAGGATGATAATAGACTATGCCTTCACTCAGAATGAGTTTTTATTAATAGATGGAGAGTGCAGAGGGAGACAGGGAGTTCAGACACTTTAGTGACAGATGAATTTGACAAGCAGTGCTTTCTGCATGAAACTTCATTCAAGAATGATCAGTTTCTGGGGCTGAGGAAATATTTGGATATTTAAATACCTAAATTGCAATCACAAAGATTTTAAAGTATAAAAACTGATTTGGGATTTGAGTTTTTGATTTCATTGTCTCTTCTTGTACCTGTCAGATTTCTATTGATCAAAGAACAAATTAAATATGGCTATATTCAGCAGTGCCTCAACTCATGCCGCAATTATCTTCATCATTTGGAAAGACACATCATATCACATAGCAAAAAAGACAGTGCTCTGCTGACTGTGTCAGTAGGAGCTGCATTCAGCTTTCAGAGAAATCCTATAGAGCAGAAAAGGCTCTTAAAATAGAGAACATGAAAATAAAAGCTATGTTAACCTATTTAAAGTGTGGCAATACAAACTCTATTCCTTTAGGATTTTTTTTTTATGTACACATTCAATATTGGATTTCTTTTGATCAGAGTCCTTAGAGCTGTGTGAACTTCATGAAGTTTGCAAATAAGCTCTCAAGCTCAAATTCAAACATCAGCTTCCTCTGGTTACCAAAAATATTAACATAAAACTTATTC